CTGGCCCTATGACCAGACCTGTGAGTCGTCATAGCGTTGTAAGCAATAAAATAGCGCTAACTAATAACTTTTCTTTTATGTAATTTCTGAAGACGGCTAAGTCCGTCGCTGCCGTTTCAAAGCCGATTGCCTTTCAAGCCGTTTCTATGAACACTTCATATGTGACCGTGTTAAACAAGGTTTATCGTCTTTAAGGCAATTAAACAAAGGGGGCCGAAGAACCTCACCCTGGGGCGAAGTTCGCCACCATATATTTGCATAGCAGTGTCCGCCACTAAGACAACAAGAACTTACGTGCACGGTATTCCAGGCCTATTTAGATGCATCAAATCAATCGTTTCGTTCAAGGCGCCGTTTAAACTCACCATAAATATATATATATATATATATATATATATATATATATATATATATATATATATATATGTATGTATATGTATATAGATATAAAGTTTTTAGTTAACATTGCTCTTTCTTACCTGCGTCATTTAAAGAGTTTTGTTGGTTAAAAGAGGCTATAACCCCGGCGTTTGAGTTGGTCTCTAGTGCAACAAATGGCCCCAATAGATCTCAAGATTTCTGATAATGAAATTGACCCCGCATATTATTCAAACAAAGTACAGAGTGCCAGTCAGCTGCTTTCAAAACAAGCGTTGACGTTGTGGTCACAACCCGAATTCAGTCTAACAGTAAAATGTCTACAAATGGTGCTGTAACAGTGCACTCAGCCGGGTCAGCTGGCATGCTTAACACGCGCCCGGGTGGATACCCTTGGATCGGGTGGGGGTCAATTTGACCCCCCTAAGATCTCAAAAGCTAAGAAAGCTAGAGACACCAAATTTACAGGGTGTATTGACCTGTACGTAAACTCACTTAGGTCAAAGTTTAAGCTTCCTAGGTCATTATCTTCAGGTCAAATAAGGTCAATCAAGGTCAAACTCCGGGTTGGTCTCCAAAGTGCCCCCAGAACCTAGGCAACTGTTTCTAAGCAAAAAGTCACAAGCCCATTTGAGGTCAGTTACCTTGATAGATCTCTTGAAGGTCATGGTGACCAAAATCATACGGGACTGCTTTGAGTTTTGCATTTGAATAAAAGACAAAGATTACGCTAGGCAGTATGTTCCCAAAACAAAATGTCAACCGGGGTCATCTTAGGTCAATGACCTTTTCTGACCCCCAAGAAGTCAATGAAAGATGTATAATGCGGTTTCTGCCGTCAGTAAAGTTCAAGTGAGCACCAGAAACTATCACATACAGCAAGCCCTAGAGCAATAAATCAGGCTAATTTTGACCTTGGTCTGACCTTCATAACTGACCTTAGGTCAACATAATTTGCTCATTCAATATTTGTGGTGCCTAAGAAAGCATCTCAGAGATGTATGGCTTCATCAAACACTTCGTTGTTGTATCAGATTAAACGATTCCCTAGAAATTGACCTAGCTGAAACCATGGTCTAACTTTGACCTGCCAATAGGTCAGCAACCTTCCAAGCTACATCTAAATTTTTTGTCTCAAACGAACCGCTATGAATTTTCTACAGTTATGCAAAGTTTGGCGCTGCTGCGCCGCGTTGTTCGGAAACCATTCTGGAAAAACCTTTGGGGGGTCAATTTGACCCCCACCCGAGCGCGTGTTAAGAAATTCGCCGGGGTCGAACAAAATAATTTTAACGTCAAAACGGCTCGCCAAAAAATGTATGCATCTTGCTGCGATCGTCTTGACGCTGCATGAACCAGCCAAACTTGGGCGTCCTTCACCTGAAACGAAGCTTTGATGGTAACTGGCAGGTATCAGATCGAGCAATTTTCCTCGCATTCTCGGTTTCAACGTTCCCATGGCCAGAGAATGCCCCAATCCTGGTTGTCAGTACAATCGCCTCCTTGTTCTTTGTGGGGGAGTTGTGAGAGATCGTCTTGATCGCAATGCGTCGTTGCTCTCGTGTGCTGTTCTAACGACGTCCGTGATCGCAGCGATGTAGGCTGGAGCGACAGTCGTCAGAGAAGAGGACAGAGCAGGGAAGAAGTCTGAGCGACGCTATCACGCCGGTAACATGCATCAGAAACAGGAATTCTGTACGAAAACCAAATACTATATATTTACATATTGCGGCATTCCCAAAACCACTGAGCTAAGCTTAGGAGGGAAGCAGTGCGGTAAAACAAGGACAGATTTCGAAGAGCGAACGCAGTAACGATCATTTGTAATGGGTACATGCGGCTCTTATCCGGATCAAATCAACTATGTTTCATTTTATTACACGCTCACAATAGTATCTTGAGGTGACGACATCAAACAGAACATGTCAAAAGGTATTATCTCCTATTGGTAACTAGGCACTCGCAGTTCACCGCGGGCGAACACAAACACCAAGACAAAACATCCAAAAGTTACCTTTGGATCCGAGAGCAACGGAACAGCACAAATCATTGCAACAAGTAAAAAATCAACAACAGGTTGGCGTGTACGTACGCGATCAACGAGCACAGATGTAGCATTCCCCGCTCCCCACCCACGACGCGACACGAACGAACCTACAGGCCGACAAAACAAAAGGA